CATAAGTCAATAAGCCATAATTATTCTTATTTAATTGAAAAAAAAAAACAAATTTATAACCCGCCGGTCTATAGATATAACATAAGTATAAATAAAATTTTGAAGGAATATTATTGATAATAAGGATTGAATTGCATCCTATCATGAGGTACTTTTTTGTTTTAATTTATAGATCTCATTGTATTTTTCTTAAAATAACTTCTATAAAAAAAAAAAAAGGTTTAATTTTACTTATAAGTCAATAAGTCATAATTATTCTTATTTAATTGAAAAAAAAACAAATTTATAAATCAAAATGTACAATATTTTATGACGTAACGGCCACCAAATCTTTTATAAAGGAATATTCATTTTTGGCTTCTAAGTTTTTTAATTTTACTTTATTTTCAAAATGACTAAATAATCATTACTCTAAACCATGTAATCTAATAACAATACTTCAAATCTCAACATTTGAGACATGCCTTTGGGTGTTGACACCGGCGCGGCACCCTCATTGAGGAGGGATGAGGTGTTGTTATTCAAACATTATTCTTCATCTCCTCATTATTTTGTTATTGTGACGTGATTAAAAAATTAAATAAAAATAATAATAAGTAAATTTATTAAAAAATATCAATAATAAAATATTACTAAAATAGATGTTAAAATTTTATTTATTTTAAGGTGAATTATATGTTTCTACAAAGTAGATCTTCTAATGCAACAAGTATAATCTTCCAATGCAACATAAGTATAAATAACATGTTGTTTTTAAAATGTTATAGTTTTATAATAGAACCCTATAAATTTGCACTATTTATAATCATTTAACTTAAAACTCTTATTTACCTAAAAATATTTAGAAGATAAACTAAACAGGTAACTAAAAATTTTTGATAATTAAGCAAAATAACATATTCTATTTATAGGTTCATGGTTATATCATTCTTATTTATAAATTAATAATAAAAATAAATTAAACAACTATTATAAAATAATATGTTTTTAAACAAGATAATTAATCTACATCAACTAATTTAATTAAATTGTTAATAAAATATTTAATTTACAAAATATATTATTTTATTTTTTATTATAATATTTAAGTCCTAACAGAAGGCAATCATTGTGCAGGTTACTAACTAGGCCGTCAGTGCCACTGGGTTTACACGTGACACAACATTCTCGTTTCCCCATCTTTACCGATCGAGTTACCCAGTTAAAGATGCCACCCACGCCACGAGCACTGTGTTGTTTCTTTCTTTAGTTTTTGGTGCATGAGCGAGGGCGACCATATTAAAATTTGAATAAAATCTGAAGTTAAGGGTTGTTTAGTTAGGGTTTAATTTTATTGAGAAAGTTCTTATAGAAATAGTAATTGAGAAAATATTATACAAAAATAAAAAATACCATATATGAATTTTGTTGAAATTTTGTTCGGTTATTATTTTTTTTTTATATTTACTAAAAAATTGAGATAAATAAAGTTGTTTAAACATTTATTAAATACATCTCACATTAAAAAAAAAAGAAGAAGTAATTATTTTTAGTACCAACCTTTCATTATTAGCATTTTTTTTATTCACAAAACCCAAATTTGAGATGTTTACGAAAAACTAAACTCTTTCTATTTAAATCAACAAGTTATTGGTAAGTAAAAAAGTAAATGTGTCGAAAAAAAAAAATCATAAGCAATTACAGCTGGTCAGTACAGAGGAAAAATAACAAAGTGCCTCCCCCTTGTATAGAATGAAGAGTAAACAAAGAAATGGCATTTTCCGCAATTCTTCATTCATCTTCCTCTGCATCCCAACCTCATTAGCAATTACAGGAAAGGGTTGCAGTTTCTTTTGAAATGTCGAGGAATCTTGCAGAAAAACATGATGAGAGCTACCACTCACCGGGAGTCATGCCCCCAGAAAGTAGAGTAGTTGCAAATATAGAAGCATTTAACTCCTTGGAGACTCAAATTGCTCTTCTGTGCCCTCCAAAAGCCCAAATCTGCCACATGAAGAAACAGAGACAGAAGACAAGTGTTTAGCACATGTGCAGAATTTCTGTTCTTACTTTTCCCATTTTGCTGATAACATTCCATTTAATAAAAAACAAGACTGACCTTCAGATTTGTATCCCAGCTCCCTGTACACAAGGCACTTCCATCAGCCGACAAACCCAAACAACTGATCTTTGCTTCGTGTGAGTTCTGAAGAGTTCCCAAGTCCAAAACAACCTGCCAAAATGCTAGCAAGTAATTAGAGCAAAGACACCTTTTAATACACCATGCACCTCAGTTGAAATAAACTATAGTTCAAGCACTATACATGCTTAAATGCAAATAAGAGTGGAATGAGAATGGAGGAAATTAAAATGCGGGGGTCCCTGTCTTCCTAGCTCAATCTATATTTTGCTAAAAAAATTGTAAAATATAAATAGAGATCCATGTTGCAAATGAACTTCATTCCCTCATTTTCTTTCTTATGGGAGAATGTAAAATCTAAAATGGCTTTATGACGATAGTGGGAGGAGGACCAGGAGTTTGAACAAGCTGAAGTGTGTACCTTTGCCAATAAAGTATCCCATACATAGCAATCTCCATTTGAGTATCCAGCAAAGAGAAGTCTTCCTGATATGGAGAACGCAATTGAGGTCGCACGTGGAACCTCAATATCACCATGCTGGTCATAATATACTTGCAATTGGTGCCCAGTTCTGATATCAAATAACCTGCAAGTTCCATCATCTGAACCAGTTCCAAACCTATTGCCATCTGGAAAGAACTTCACAGTGTTAACATCTCCCTTGTGGCCATAAAATGTACGAACTGCTCGACTTGCAACACGAGTATCCCACAATTGGACAGTTGCATCACATGAACCAGATACAAACATTCTTGAGTTTGATCCATTAATGGAAACACTGAAATAATGCACAATATAAAGAGCTGATGGTCAAAAAATATTTAAAAATAGCCCTTCATGATAACAAATTTCTCATGAACAAGTTTCTGGCTAATAAATGGAAAAATAATAAACAAGAGATGCGGGAATTAACCTTCTGATTTGACATTTAATTTTACAATCAAATCATTGTAATGATTATATCCATCATATGATTAGCAAAAGAAGCATATATCCATCAGATCTGGAATTTTTGCATATGAGACCTGAATAAAGGAGAAGCAGCACAAGCTCCCCCAAAATTATAACTTACAACCGAGAACCAGCCATTTTATTCTGACAGAATTATATATGGGGTCATTGCTAGTGCCAATGTCATACATAATCCATAAGCTGACAATGTGTAAGGATGATAAACAGCTAGGAACCTTCCCACCAATGCAGACTACCTAAATGTGAATCAATGAACTTAGGTGGCGAATATAACTAAATAAAACCAATTTCCTTGGGGCTTAATTTCCAAATTTAACAAAGACTTGTATAAGCACATTTCAACCTTGTAAAGTACTTGAGAAAGAAATTTCAATGAAAAACTATTTCTTCAACAGGATGATAATCCCAAGTTCATGCTTGAGACAACATAAGATACCTTAGCACATCAGCAGTATGTCCAGACTGAAATTCGCCTCCAAAAACAGAAGTTCTGAGACCAGTTGTAACATCCCACAAAATACATGTATGATCACCTGAACTAGTAATCAGATGAGAGTCCTCATTAGGAACATACTGACAGCAGGAAACGTAGCCCTTATGACCAATAAGCATTCTTGATACTGGTAAATGTCCATCGTTGTCAGTTGGTGAGTTCAAGTTGAATATAGAGCAAATGCTATCAAGGCCACCACAAGCAACTGATTGACCAGTTGGGGAGAAAGCACATGTCATAACCCATGCACAAGGCAGCTTTATTGCATGAACTTTTTGCCTTGTTAGTGCATTCCATACAATTAAACGTCCATCTTGAGATGCACTAACAATCCGATTCCTTTCTGGAGTCCAATCCAATGAATATACCTGCAAATTTCTTAAAATTAAAATTCAAAACACTATGTACTTTCTTCGAGCCATAACTAACAACGCAATTGATACATAGAACTAACATAGTTCTTGATTTGAACAATGCATATCTTACCTTCCCAGTGTGTCCCTGCAAGGTCCTGCAACAGACCAGATCTGTAGGGCCAAAAGTAACAGGAGATCTCCCCTGTGCCCTTGCATAACCAGCAACTACACCACAAGTCACCAAGAAACCAAACTGATCTCAGAATTAAAAAAACAAATACCCAAAACACCAAAACCAAAAAGCAGAAGAATTTTACCATCAGTGTCAAGAAGTTGAAGCCTTTTCTGCCTCAAGCGCTCTCTGAGACGGTTGACCTTCTCAGTCGCCGCGTCATGGCGTTCCTTGAGCTCCGGAACAGACATTATTGTAGGCTTTGAGCTTTGAATTTGAAGCCTATGAGTTCACATTGAAATTTTCAACTAAAGGAGGTAGATTTGGGGTCAAATAGTGTACGAAAGAATTGAAATTGAAGGAAAAATGAAAAGGGTAATCATTTATGGTGGTGGGTGAGCAGAGTTTCGAGGAAATTGTGAAGGTTATAGTTGGAAGACTCTGACTTCTGAGTCCGAGTCTGGGTGTGGTTGTGAAGTGGGAAAGACAGAGAAAGGAGGATTGACTCATGGAAGAGAGAGAGGTTTTCTGGTTATTGTTAGTGAGGGTTTTTTTTTTTTTTTGCAAAAAGTGCAATTCAGCCCCTGTACCTGCAATTTTGTGGCAGATCAGCCCCTATACTAGAAACACTGGCAAATCAGCCCCTCTACTACATGAAATCCGCAAATCATCCTTTCTGTTAAGGATGGCGTTAGAAAATGTCATCTTTCCGTTTGGTTTTTGTGGTCCGGTTTTTGTGGCCCGGTTTTTGTGGCCCGTTAACAAAAGACGATGATTGGACAATGATATGGCATTGACTTAAAAAAAACCACCTGATTAGAGAAAAAAATATTTTCGAGATTTTCTTTTTCACTCTTACATATT